CGGATATTGAGGGGACTGGAGGTGGCAGTGTCTTTGGTACTTTTTAGGTATTATGTCGTTTTCCACAATCTCATGCTAGATTTAAGAAAATTTACTATAACTGAGGAGACTTTGTACGTTTCCAAAGCCTGAATTAATGACAAATGATAGAGCCAAAAATTGGATAGCGTGTCACATCCTGGGGTTTTCCATTTTTTTTTTTTTTTATTTCATTAGAGCTTGCCTTGCCTAACATTATTTTTGGTTATATTTTTCCATTCTTCTTCTTCTTCTTCTTCTTCTTATTATTATTATCATTATTATTATTATTATTATTTCCAGTCTCTTTGATCAGTAGTCTGATACAATCCTTTACCATTTGCGTGTGGTGTAATGTACACTTGCTCGGAATGGAAAATCAGAACCGAATTCGTTGCATTCCCTTACGCTCAAACACCCATGGGAAATTTATGAATCCTCTTCTTCTCAATCTGTAGGTGAAATAGCAGTGTAGACTGGGCCCTTTTTTATATGCTTGGTAACCAGTCTAGGAAAAGATAACTCTGAATTCCAAAGAGGAAATGGCGCTGACGCTGCGATAAATAAAAATAATTTAAATAAGATCTCTATTATGTTTTATCGAAAGTGCTTCACCAAAACAAAACAAAAAAAGCAACTCATTGAACAACATATCCATGTAGTGGTTTATGCAATTATTCAATTTCTTTTGTTAAAATCCTTTAACAAGTTTTTTTTTTATCTGGGTCCTGAGATAAAGGAAGGGTTTTCTTAGGAATCCAGGTTAAAAAAAAAAAAAACAGTCACAGGTAAAAAATAGAAACAAGACTTGTTTAGTGGACAAAATCTAAGCGGACAAAATCCCAGCCAATTATTCCAAAGTTAGGCAAAAACCCAGTCTCGTAAATAAATTGAAAAGTTAAAGAACATTTCATTCATATTCTAATGTCAAATTTACGTTCTTCACGTAAAGTTGTGTCTTATGGGATTTTCCCTAATTATGAAATATATTGAATATGTATCCATAGCATTGGTAGAAAACGTTTTTGTACAGTTTTATTTATCTTCATATACAATCATCGTGATTTGTTTACGTTTTGGCGCAAACACTCTTCTTAAGGCTTTTTTTCACATAAACGGGATACCAGGATACCCCAACTATAAAATATATCGAATATACGATCATGGCAATATTAGAAAACGTTTTTTTACAGGTTAGATCGATTTACTATGAATTTTTGTTTCAAACAGAGCGGACCCATAAACACGTTAAGTACCCTATAGAAATATTACCGGCCACTACAAATTAATTGTGACTTTTTTCCTAGTTAGATTTGTGATCTTTTCCTGTGACTTTATTACCGGTCACGGCATTTTCACACAGTGCCATTTTTTTAAAAATCGTTAATAAACTGAACGACCGTGGATCTTGTTAATATTTCTATCTGTACCATTTTTTATCATAACCACAGCACCAATTATTCTCGGTCGTATAACAGTAGTTTTAAGGTGACACATTTTTTTCGGTTCCAATTTCAATTTTTTGCCATATTCTTTAACATATATTTCTTCTGAGGGCATTTCCATAAAACTGATTTTTTCTTTGTAGTATTTATTAATCACAATGACTCGACTATTGTCTTTTTTTTATTTGTCTGTCATTATGAAGACCCAATGAAAACTATCACTATTTCAAGCTGATATTCATAATTCACTGTTATTATATATTAATATGCTTGTCACGCTTGTTGGAATGGCAAAGCGAAAGAGAGATGCACATAGAGAATACAACAAAAAAAGAGAGAAAGACGTAGAAAAACAAAAATAGAGCGTGACACAGAGAGATTGGAAGGGGGTCATAAAAAATAAAGACATTTGTTTGTAATGTGGTGTTGAATCATATTACGTAACAGAACGATTGAGAACAAATGTTGACCCTTAAATGCAAATGACCTTTTGAAATTAAAAGATTCCTTTTATTTGCATATTCTTATCTTCGTAAATACCGTTTTCATTTCATGCATATATATTTCATTCGAGCATAATTTGTCTAATCCATAAAATTCAGATTTCATCTACTTTAATTGACCGTGTGTTTTTTTTTTATTTTAAATAAACTATTTGAAAATAAAATTCAGCTTCCATAACATTGTAGAAGTATAGAACGGCCTCAGTTCAATCCGTGCATTTCTTTTTTACTTTACAAATATGTCAGCAAACGAAAAGCAAACATGAGAAACAACACAAAACTTTTTTTTATAATAACAATCATCATTTTACTGTATGGCATAAAAAGCAATCAAGTGTGTGATTTTTATGTAGTAAGAGTTGAAATTAATAGCAGGAGTTATTCACGTTTAACTGTTATTTTTTTAAGACTTTAAGGAAGATATATTTTTTATCTGGGCTCATGTTTTTGTGTTTGTAGTTGATGATTTAAGAGCTGTTTAATGTTCGTACTTACGTATTTTGTGTGTGTGTGTGTGTGTGTGTGTGTGTGTGTGTGTGTGTGTGTGTGACAATTGCAACCTTTCCACAGAATTACATTGCTGTGGGTCTGAGAAGACAGGAAAGAGAAAAGGTTGAAGATATCGCTTGGTATTTATAATGCTGTAAGTTACGTGATAGGTTCGAAACACATAGATTTTTGGCGGAATTGTATTTTCGTTCCGGTCAGAATCTAGGCCAATACAATTCGGACGTAGGTGAAAATATGATATTAGTAATAATAGACCAATCAGGTGTCAGAGAAATATCAAGGCTCTGCAATCCACTCTTTACACAAAATTGAACAAGTTATTTTCAGCTATTTGAAATGTTGTAAAATTAAAATTCTACATCATCGACTTTAATATAGCGTATTTTTTAAAAGTAAAAATCGACTTTAATATAGCGTGTTTTTTCAAGTATTTTTTTAAAATACAATTTTTAATAATTCTTAAAATATATTCTAAATAAAATTTAGATTATCTTTAAAAAATAAAACGCAAATAATACGCATATATCCCTGAACCACAACTGTATTTAATTTTCTTGGTCACATGTCCATAAGATACGAGTAATCAATCCAAGACTAGGACACTTGTTACGTGTGTCCGGGTTAAACATCTAAACTACAATATTTGTACAAAAAATGAAATATAACTGAAACTGAATAGATTATTTAAAAGTATTCATGGGCAAAATAAAAAAAAAGAAAAATCTATATATTATTTCTCTTGTTACGCTTGGTCAAGAGGCAAACAGAGAGAGAAGGGCATAGAGAGTAAAAGAAAGAGATCGCCAGCAATGTACCAAGATAAAATAAAAAGTGCTGCACAGAGACATATTAGATCAGGTCAACTTAGGTAATGTAGTGAGGGGTTTAATCCTGTTTCGTGACCTAACGATGTGTTGAGAACATTTCAGTATTTCTAAAAGGGATGTTTTAAATATATGTCACTTTTCCATAATTATATCTGGGAATGGACATGGGCTGAGGCTTAAAGAAGTCAGCATTAAAAAAAAATGACGCGTAAAAATCTGTGGGATTTACACGAGTCCTGCTACTGATTATTAATATAAATGTTCGTGATTGTTTTTAACTGTTTATTCCTTTAATTCAATCAGTCAAGTGCCATACGTGATACACGCCTGAGCAATCAGATTTCTTTCCATTTATGAGTGGCTAGGCAGAAGATTTCCCCGCAGGAGGTTCCCATTTATTTCTGTGGTAGACTGGTTACCAACCAAGGCTACAGGATCCAGCGCATCCTGCTATTCAACCCAAATTTAGGAAAATTCGGTAACGGAATATTCGGTAATTTTGACAAGGTAGGAAAATTCAGAAACTATGAAATAAAAGTCGATTGAAAACTTATTTTAGGGTTGTTCTGGCGTGGGGATTTGGGTGCTAGGCCTCCTCTTCAACTTTTGAAATAAGTGAAAATCGTGGGGTCCAGATAAAACCCCATTACAACAATACCAGGACTGTACTTTCCGAAGGGTTCTTAGGAGGCTACGGACTAAGTATTATTAACTATGGGGGGGTCTCGAAAAAAACCCCACTACAACAATACCAGTGCCGTACTTTCCAGAGTGGTGGCGGTGGCGGTGGGGGCTACTCTCTATAAGTTAAATAAGTATTAACTAAAAAAACGAATGGGTCCAGTCCAGATAAAAATCCATTGCAACAATACAATGGTCGTACTTTCTGAAGGGGGGGGCTAAGACCCCCCCCGCTAATATTTTTAAATAATTTTTTAATAAGTATTTAATTACTATACTGAATTGTTTTCAAGCGAATAAAATCGACTTATCTAAGTTAAAGTTAAGTTCTTGTATCTTTCCAAATTATTTTAATAAAAAGTAGTAAATAAATTGTTTTAGATAGTTATTTATTTTTAAAAAAGCAAAAATTATATAGCTTCATTTTTATTTAAAAAATATAAGGGAGGGGGCTTAGCAAATAATCACTATTTCTGCGCCTAAACAAAATAATCAGATAAAAATAATAACTGAAAAAAAAATGTTCGATGATATTGATGCTAATTGTCGTCAACTATAATTAGAAGTATTCTCTAGTATTTTCGTCTCCAAGGTCAAGACTGGTGGCATCTACCAATTCGTCTATGTCACAACCGGATAAGGAACAAGGATAATGTTTAAAGTGGGTCTTTCAGCCGCACCGTACAAAAATTCCGCTCGGTACTCCCTCAGCCACTGGGCAATAATCCTAACCACCTCCCGTAGAGAAGGTACTGCCTAGGGAGAAAAGTCTCCTGGAGTTTGGCCGAATATTCTAAGAATATCAATCCAAACCAAGGTCATGATTAGTTTTAACCTCCAGCTGTATCAACTGCTATTATATATGATATAAATTTGTATATGAATACAACACTAATAATATAGAATAATTGAATATATTTTCTTTTCAAAAAACACCCCTTTTTTTCACTACCTTTTTACCTCACTGATGTGTTATTTGATTTGTCCAAATCTTTCTCGATTTCTTTTCCTATTAGGTATTTTTATATTCTCTCAGCTTATCACAAGAAAAAAAATCTAATATCGAATATCTACAACGTGGTAAGGGGACGCTTTCTTAAACGTTAAAATTCAACATCCTGGCTTTTACCTACAAACGTTATACGGGCATATCACGTTGAAACACCGTTTCTCGTCCGATCACTGAAGTTAGGCAACGTCGACCTTGGTCAGTATATATATGGGTAAACGCTTGGGAGTTCCAATTCCTGGTTCGTTGTATTCCATTACACGCAAATAGCGTAGGGAAAGATATTAATAATCCGCTCCTCCGGATATGGATTAAATAATAAAATCTGTATAAATTATATCATTATTATCTCAGAAAATATTTTATGGCTTTAAATAATCTTTAAAAGTTTGATAATTCATAATAAAAACCATGATCCCCAGTAAAGAATACCCCTGCTACTTATTTATTAATTAGGAATGTGATAAAAGAAGACAAAAAAGAAAGAAAAGTCATGAAGCAACTATAAGGACACATCTTTTTCCTTAAAAAAATTATCAAATACCATAGCTGGCCGACCATGCGAGAATACCAGAATACAATCAACTGTTGTATTCTGCTATTCTCGCATGTCTTTTAGTCTACGAATTGGTACGTCAACTTGCATTTATATCTTCGTCAGCCTACGAACTTTGCAGCCGACCCTCATATTATAAAATTTTTATTTTACTATTTTAAAAATGGTAGACATGTATAAATGTTTAATAGTTTTTTTTTGTTTTTGTTTTTTTATATACGTTAATGTATTTTTAGGAAGGCCAGACGGTTAGTGTACAAATTGTTAGATTTTTATGACCTTTTTCGGCTCAGCAGTTGAAACCCGTCAAAATTTGTGAAGTATCCATCTCCAGTTCATGGAAGATTATTTTTTCGTATATACTGACCAATAAAGCGTGCTCTCAAACTCTACTAATATCCGGAATATTGGGGCAAGTAAGTGAGCCTAATTTCTAAAATAAATAGAATACAGGTCAGTAAAGGTGACGAGAAGACTTTTGACAGCAAAGAGACAAGACAAGTTGTCAACATCAATGAAGGAATCAGTTACCGACCAGCCGTAGAGAGACTAAGAATTCAAGTGAATATTATTTTGTGGTTGTATAACCAAGAACGAAAATAATTCTAAGGGATTTTCCAAGCACGATCTGTGTAAAGTTAAAAAGGACTTTTCAAAAAAAAAAAAAAACTGTATGTCCCAAAGACACTCGTTGGGTAAATGAAAGTAGGTCTTTTCGTTTTTTTCGTAAAGGTTGTTGCACATTTATTTTTTACTGCTTTCTTGTATTGTTTTCTCTTTTTGTCATTTCCAAAATCCTTGTCTTTTCCTCAAACTGTAACTTTTTTTTCCATTTTTACTGGTAATCCTTTCTATCAGAAATTTTAATCCTGCCTTAATAGGTGCAGAAAAGGAAAAATTTTGTGCAAAATTTGTATTTGTATCTTTTTTCTAATTATGTAAATAAATGTGTTTTTCCTTTTAGAATTTTACGCAGAGGTTGTTTTGTTTTGTAAATTCTACTAAGTTTTTGTGTCTGGCCCTTGAAGTTAGATGGGGTAGGGAATAAAAAAAATTATAATCTATCTATCTATCTATCTATCTATCTATCTATCTATCTATCTATCTATCTATTTCAGTCAGTTCATATCTATCTATCTATCTATCTATCTATCTATCTATCTATTACAGTCAGTTCATATCTATCTATCTATCTATCTATCTATGTTGTGGTAGGATCCACCTAATTTGCATAGTGGAGTACCGACCATATAAATATGGTTGGTACCGGGAAGAGAAGAGAGGAATCAAGAGATTCAATCCAGAGACTCTGCCCGACTGCGACTAAGTCAACACATTCTCCAGAAACGGTCTTCCCAGGAATATACAAAAGACTATATGTAAATATTGTGTACACTTTCTTGTTTCAATACATTTTGTTCTAAGTACATTTTGTGTTGTATTATTATTCCATGCATTAGTCAAGTTTCAACAATCTATCTATCTATCTATCTATCTATCTATCTATCTATCTATCTATCTATCTATCTATCTATCTATTACAGTCAGTTCATATCTATCTATCTATCTATCTATCTATCTATCTATCTATCTATCTATCTATCTGTCTCTGTCTCTGTCTCTTCTTTATATATATATATATATATATATATATATATATATATATATATATATATATATATATGCCAAAACAAACCAAGCCATTGGTAAAGCGTCAGAGAACAGCACTACTAAGCTTGCCGAAGGAAAAAAAATTCTATGAAAAGGAAAAAAAGGAAAAACTCTCAAAGAATTGTAAATAATATTCCGAAAAGCTAATGAATTTTTCCGAGATAAACAAGAGACAAACGTGTTTTTCTCAAAATGATGCGTGATATTGTTTGAAGATCATATATATATATATATATATATATATATATAAAGTTTAATCTTGCATAAAACATTTTTATTTGATAATTCTTGCCAACACATTTTACATTGTCCCTAACACTCTCATTAGAGAGTGTCACGTACTAAAAAACAAAAGAATCACACAGGCATAAACAAATACAGAAACACACACGCATATATATATATATATATATATATATATATATATATATATATATATGCACACACAAAAACACAAAGAAGCAAAACACACACGCATATACACACACATACAGACACATATATGTATTAGTAATATAAAATATTTTTCGGCTATGAAACCAAAAAATGCTTTATTTTTTATATTTTTAAAACACATTTATTATTTTTCCATTTATCATCTGCCAACTTTGCTGATTATTTATCGCTTTAATTTGAAAAGAAATCTAAAATCTGCCGGTTTTAGCCAATCTTTAAAAACTTTTCACTGATATTGAAGCCATTACAATTTAAATCAAAAGTAATCTTTCTGAAGGAAATTCGTTGCAACTAAACGCTTCTAATGCTATGGAGAAAACTCTAAAATGGTGTTTACAATTATAATGTTCAGGGAGGCCATTAATAAGTTACGATGTCAGAACCTGTCAAACAAGGAATATATTCTTACGATCTTTGTAACCACACGGAAACATAAATTCAAATTTTGCTGGTGTCATAAAAATAACTTTTCGTTATAGTGTTGACAACCAACTCATACTAAAAGCAGTTGAGGTTGTGCAGCAAACTTTTGTCAAATAACTACTGGAGGCATTCTCAGTACAGCATTGAAGAAATGCAAGAGAAATGGATGGTCCGAGTCTGGTAATGACTCGCATGCAAGATCTGACAGTGTTACTAATGTTATTAGTAGCAGTAATTTGCACCGAGCTACAAATCGAAAAGAACCTTTGGCCAACCTGATCTCTAAAAGAAATATATGCTGTGTTATAGTTTGAAAGTAAATGGGAAGCATTGATATATAAAGTGTGATGAATGATGTTGAAGAACCTGTTACTGAATTCTCCCATAGGCCTTCTTCAGGGGATCCAGAACATTCGTCCAAGGAATATTGGTTTAAGAATATTGCTCTAAGGAACAATCGTCTAAACAGTGTACGTCAAAGAAATATTCGTCTAGAATATTATGGCCTAATGGGTATTATTACTAACCTGAAAACAGTAAACCAAAAAGTCCATAGGGCCATGAGCTCTTGCTTAAATATTATTCTGTAATATAGTGAATTTTACTAAAATTGGGTATTTTGTACATAAATAAAGAAATAATTTATTAAAAAATATTATTATAAGTCAATGGTCCTTAGGTGGGCATTCCATAGACCACTGTCCTTAAACAAGTATTCCTTAGACAGTTTTCCCTTAGACCGATATTTTTAGACGAATTTTCCTTGGACCAGTGTTCCTTAGGCCAGTATTCCTTAAACCAATATTCTTTAAACTAATATTCCTAAATCCCTTTTTCAGAGATATTAAAAGACCATGTCATTTGATAGGCACGTTGTATTTTCTTCCCTTCACAACCACTTGCCGATTTGACAGAAAAGGGAGGGTTTAATTGGTTTACAGATACAATTATGAAGAGGCTCATCAAAAAGAGTGGAGAAATTAGACTGTCTTTGTAAATAAGATAATGACTTTTATAATTACGTTTTATGGAACACGTTAATTGACTGAGGAAACCAATTACTGTGAAAAACGAGTTATCGTTCTTTTTTATTCCACACTAAAAGATGCTTATAGACGAGAAGAAAAGCTGTTATCAGTGATGAAGCATTATTACTAACAAAATGATTTGATGAACGCGGCGTAATGTTATTAGACCCGATATTTGATGCGTCGGCCGTTTAATTAACAAGCTCTTCGTAAGGAGAAGGTGAAAACCAGTGATCGAAGACAAGCGAATAACAGACGGTTGGTTTTCAATCAAGGTGTGTGAAACAGAAAAGAAAAGCGCCTCATTAATAAAATGTATTTTTCTTCTCGTGAATGCCATGACAGAATTAGTGTAAATGATCAGGGAAAAATCGTTATAATACTAAACAAAATATAACTAATTCGATATTTCCCCTCTTCAATTTAAAAAAAAAATAGTCGATCAAGTCGATACACAGATTCTGTTTATCTTTTATGTGTGGAGAGCCTTTTAGGGAAGACAGTGAAGTTATTGTCTCCTCAACAATTTTGAATTCAGAGATGTTCTTTTCCTAGTCTGGCTTCCAAGCAAGGCTGGATATTCCAGTCTTCCCTGATAATTGAAATAACTACGAGTGGGGTGATGCATTTATGCTTTCCCTAAGAACATTTCTGCACAAAGGGAATGAAACAGATTCGTTCACTAATTAAATTCGCTTTGTTCTAACTCTAATCTTTTCATGCTGATAATCGTTGGTTAATGTTATAAACGCGTGGGGTTGCATGAGAAAACGAATGAAATAACAGTTGCCACCAGTTTCAAAAAGAAAAGACAAGCATTGTTGAGACAAAATTCTTTTTATTGCCGACTTAAGGGATGAAGGCGGAGTCTTTATTTGTGGATGAGGCAAGCGACATGTAGCATGAGGTGAGTCGGCGGAACCTGAAGTAGATGATTTGTCTGCTAAGTTGACGGAGGTCACTGGTGGTGACGGTGATAGCCTGCTCGCTAGTTCGCGACTGTCTGCCGACGGTGTTGTGGAGAGCGTTCTTAAAAGCAGGCGGAGTGGATCATGGCTCTACTTTTTTTGTCACGCCTTTTGCTTTAGCGGCAACGTACGTGACTGTCTCCTTTTATGTCATATTTCTTTTTTTTTTTTGAGGGGTTTTGTTTTGTGAGCGAGATTTGATGCTCGGAGACTTTGCGCAGAGAGCGACTTTTTATTTTTATTTTTGCTTTTTTAGCGTTCACATTAAACTGACAGATTTTGATGTAAAATGAATCCGAAAGAGATCCAGATTGAGACAGAGTATAAATCTGGGTGTTATTAGCGTTAAATGAAGAACAACATCTGTGGTAACTTTTGCCTTCTCTAAGAAGAATAAATTGACTTTTATGAAGAACACGTAACAAATTATCTGTTGATTTTTGTTGTCAATTTTTTGTGCTTAGGAACTGAACCGAAAGAGGTACATAAAGAAAGCCAATGAAAAAAATTTTGATTAATATGTCTTTCTTCTCATTTCTTCTGATTTTTATTACAATAATTAGTTTCGTCTAGGAATGTTTATAAAAAGCATTCGCCCACTGTCAACAACATATGGTATTATATTAAGTCTCATGTTGTTTAACAGTCAGAGACAGTTATCACCTAGTTTTGCCATTAAACAACTAGCTTCAAAATAGTTCAATTCAATTTCACTAACCAGGCTTGTGTTAAATTGTGGTCTGGATTTCGAGCACTTCCCAACAGTGCGAGATGCTGAGATCGTCTTCCTAGGACGATATTATCAAGAAGTAACATCGTCCATGGAAATATTTAAACATAGGTTTCATGTTTGAAACATTTTACCATGCGTTCATTCACAAAAAGGCGCGTACGAACAAGGCTACCAGAAAAAAAGTTACTCAAATAAACTATAGTCCAGGGTATGACAATGAAGTGAATCAAGGCCTTTGATCGGGAGACCGGAGGGTTTGATGAGCGTGGAACCACCATTGCTGTTGTTCCCAGGTCCACCCTGCAATGAGTAAATAGTGACCCTCCGCCAAAAAAAAACAAAAAAAAACACTATGAAAATATAAACATAAATTTCCATAGTAAAAGTACCAGCAATACATATTTATATGAAACAATAATAGAAATACCTATTACAGTAAAATTAACGGCAGTACATTTTATAACAAAATCTGTAGTTGAAGGCATAGAATTGCGTTCATAATTTAGTTGCAGCCATAAAATTGTGTTCAAAAGACTTAGATTTCGGTATTAAATAATCCATAGAGATGGATATGCCGTTAAAACAAAACAAGCCATCAAATAAACTATGTAGATATGAGGAAAATGGGGAAAAAAACGAGCACTTACACTTATAATCAGGACGAGATAAGTAAAATATCTAGCTCACATCATGAGGAAAAGGGACATAGATTTTGTTACTCACAGGACTTGAAAGCAAGAAGACGAGAGGAAATCATCGAATAACCTACGTAAGAATCTTGCTCAAATGGTTGACAGAAGAGAAACGAGAAGGGATATAAAAAAAAGACAAACCTTCGTTGGAGATAAAAAAAAAATACAGGAAGATATAGATAGCTATGATCGCCTATGTTCTGAAGAGATATGACACATAGAAGAAGACGAAGGTATATTCCCTGTTTCTCTGGTTGATCTAGAAGAGTAGCCATTCAAGATGAATTTCATTTCGTGATTTGATAAGACAGATTGAATCAAATAAAAATTCAGTTAGAAACATAACCTTTAAACCTGTGAAAGAGATCACCCAGTTCACGTGGTTCGAGGAAAGATGTTCATTGCTGAATCCTTCATTCATTTTTAATATTACATCACATGCGAGACTTTGTAAATGATATTGGGTAGGGATTATCAACTTAGTGGATATTCTATAGAAAATAAAGCCAGGATATCAAAAATACATACATAATAACGCTTACTTCCTTACTTCATCCAAATAACGATAGATACGAGCTCTGACATCCATCCTACGAGATGCTGATGCCTTTATGCGGCCCTGTTGTGGCATCGGCCATTGTTTTTC